TTAAAATGTTTGATAATAATATTTTCAATTTAATATTTATTTTCATAATATAATATTTAATAACAAAAAGTTTAATCAAAAAAGATTATAAAATTCAAATATTAAAATAAATAATAGAAATAGAAAAAATAAATATAAAAAAAGTAACAAAAATTGAAATAACATAAGATATATAAATTAGGAAATATTTGGAATTATGAAAAAATTTTTTAATACTTTTAAATTACTTACTTTTTAAATTTGTATTTTAAAGTATTTAAATTTTTTCTTTCTTAAAATTCTTTTTTAAATTTTAAATTGTTTATTAAAATAATAAATTTTCAGTAATTATTTAGAATAAGAATCATCTCAATCATAAATATTAAAAATTTTTTATACATAACTCAAAAACGAAGAGCGATTATTATACAGAGATTCACGAAAATATTTGAATATTATCTTATAAAAAAATTTATCTAATTCAAAAATTCTGATTTTAATGAAATTTGGCATACATATAACAAATTATACATAAAGTAATTTTTTTGTCGACGATAAATCTCTTTGATATTGAAAACTTAAAAAATTTTTTTTTAAATTTTAATATCTTTTCATGTTTTTTTATGATGATTTTATCTGAAAATATTTTCTAATAGAGTAATAGAATTAAATTTAAAATATTTTATAATATAGAATTTTTCTCTATTTCACATTATTATAAAGTTTTATTTAAAAAGAAAAAAATTGAAACTGATGAATGAATATTATTCTTTTTTAAAATGATATTTCAATAAAAAAAACTTGTTTCATATATGTATAAATACATTCTATATATTTTTATAAAATTTTATTAAAAATAAAAAAATTTAATAATTTTAATGAAATTTTTATTATAAAATTAACATTTTAAAAAATGAAAAAATATATTCAAAATATTTTCACGAGTTACTATATATGCTGATTATGAAAGAAAGCAGTATAAATGTATAAGAATATAAAATATTTTTATATTTTTAAATAATTTGTATATTATTTTAATGCCAATTACAATAGATATAATATTTTTTTCTAGAAAATAATAGAACTTTTATTACTTTGAAACAATAGTAAATATAAATAAAAAAAGCAGTAACTGCTCTTATGAACTATTTATGAAGTTCTTTAAAATCATTCAAAGTTTACATCGATTTATCAAAAAAATTACATTTTCAATAATAATTCTTTTCCTCTATAATTATAATATCTATAAAAAAAATTTCGAATTTTAAAATAATAATTTTGAAAAAAATTTCAAGGATATCGTTATATCAAGAATTTAATTTCAAATTCGATGAGACGATCTCTATTTTAAATAATTATTTTTTTCAAAAATTTACTATTCTAAAACTGTTAAATCCAGATCAGAATTTTCTTTCAAAATTTTATCATCACACCTAATAATGGAGATCGTACCAGTACCAAGGTACCGCGAAGAACCTCTTCGGCCCGTGTATAATGCAAAGACGAATCAATCCCCACGAGAACGATGTAATGTAGACAATTAAAAGCCAGACATATACTGAAGAAGCACCTTGAGATCAGAAATCGAAGTGGAATTGTTCAATTTCTTTCTTTATGTTTTAATCTTTAAATAGGAGAGCTGGAGAAAATTTGAAATAATTTGACACAAACTATCAAATCCTAAACAATAATTTAAACAAATACCATTTAAAAATATTATTTTTATATAACGCTTAAAATATCATTTCATTTTATGCTTAAATCAAATATATTTGAAAACATTATTTTGTTTAATACATAAATCATGAAAAAATATTATTCACTATTTATCGAATTGAAAATAGAAGATACAAATTTGAATAGAAAAATTAGAAATTTTATGTTTAGTATATAAATATAAATTATATTTTTTATGCCCCTTGTTATATGAAATATTTCACAAGGCAACAAATAAGACAATTTAATTAATGATTCTTGAATAATAATTTCAAGCAACTTTTTCTTTTATGAAAATTTCCATTTTGGTTTTGTTAATGAATTATATGAAAAATATTGGCCAATCATAGAGCATATATATATATCACGATCAATAAGGCTTAAATTTTTATTTTAGCCTTGTTAATGAATTATTAGTATTATTAGTATTAGCTAATCACAGAATAGTTAGATATATATCAATAATAAATTGCTGGATTCGACATATGTTGTTTTGATATTGACTATTTAATCAAATTGCCAGCAACGCATATCTAATGCTATCATCGCAACATTTCTACACGCTCTATGATTGATTAATATTTCTCATTAACAAAACCGAAATGAAAATTAAAGCCTTGTTGATCGAGGCGTAATAGATCTGTATGCTCTATAATTAGCCAATGGTTTTCCTTAATAACTCATTAATAAAACAAAAATTTTTGCAAAGCAAAAAATTGCTTGAAATCATCTCAAAAATTATTATTTAAACTTTATTAGTTGACTTCTGAAATATTTTGTATATAAAATATATAATATTTTGTGCTATAAAATATTAAAGATAGAAATTGTCTTTTCGAAATATTATTATTTCATATAATTTTTTTATATTTCAATAAAATAGTATTTATATAAGTTGATATGAAAATATAACTACTTGGAATACTATTTCAAAGAAAAATTTATTTGAAAAATTCTGTTTTGATGAAATGAAAATTTTTCTATCTATTTTAAAAATTTATTTTAAAAATTTATTTTCCTCAGCCCTTGAATGTCGATAGCAGATATAATCATTATAATACCTGTATTTGGCGGTCCACGAAGTTGCTCGCTTTTGTCTATATTCGATTGAAGAAAAACGATAAGGAGAAACCATAAATAACTAGCGGTTGATGAGATGAACTTATTCACGGGTGATTGCCAAAATTTTGATTTTTTAGAATTTGGAGCTACTAAAATCACTACTAATACCACGAAAAGCGTGAACATGCGTAATATTACGATTAGACACTTCATCCATGGTGTCATGATCTTCCATTCGTACCATCCTTCTATCCATTTGCTTGAAATTACCTGAAATTTAAATTTGATATCATATTGATTATTGATAAATTTGATGTTATCTTGATATTTGTTTATTCTAAATTTAACATTAATCGATAAATTTTATGTTACATTATCACATTTCTAAATATCTTTCATTATCTTGTGTTTTATAATAACTTTTTTTTTAATTTAATTCTTTTCTATTACATATTTTTATAATATTTAATTTTTTTGTATTAATTTCAATTTAACCATTTTATTAAATTATACACAATGTTAATATATTTTTGAGATATCTTTAAACTGTTTTAACAATTCTAAAAAAAGGTAAAATAAATATGAAAATATTAATTATATAAAAATATTGATTAATTATTTTAATAAATAATTTAAGTTTGCGGAGATAGACGAAATGGTGATAACAACAGATAAAGTTATCTTTATTTACTTGTTTCGCTTTACAAATTTCAATTGTTTATAATTTAATAAATAATTAATAAAAAGCTTTAATTAATCAATTTTTCAAAGGTGTTATATGAATATATTATTAATATGTCGAATGTATATAAATTTCAAGTATTATATGAAGAATTTAGAAGTGTAAATATTTTTGAAAATGACGTATAGTCTGATCAAAAAATTAGGATCATTAAAAATTTTCAATATTTTTCATTGAAATTTTTAGTATAGCATTTATTAATAATTTTTATTAACGACTAATCTAGTAGTTATTTATTATTATTAATAAATTATTAAGTATTATTTTTATTAATTATTAATACACAAATATTTATATATTAATAATTTATATTTTCTTTCTTCTCGCTTTGATTAGAATCTGTTCTTTATTTTTTAATGATTTTATCAAATATCCAAAATTTTTTTTTAAATCAGCTAATATGATGACTTATAATATACAAATTGTAAATGTATTTAAATGTATTTAATTTTTTGATCTGCGATTGTAGTTTCAAAAATCTTTTTATTATTTTTTAGTATTAAAAATATTTTTAAATTTTTAAATTGACAAATCAATTATATCAACATTAAATATAATATTGAAGTAGTTATTTAATTATTTGTAAATTGAAAATTTAAGCAATAAAGAAATTTTTTTATTAAATGAATTATATAAGTTATTTTCAAAGAATGTATCTTATAGTGATTTCTGAATCCTTCGTATAATCATTGAAACATTATAATTATTTTTGAATATTTTAAATTTCAAAAATAAATGAAATTGGAATTGACTCAGATTCATAAATATTATATCAAATTTGATTTCATTCTTAGTTAAGAAATATCTAATTAAATGTTCCACTCTATATAATAATTATTATATATCTACTATAAGATATATGATATATAATATATAATAATCTCTTTCTATAATAATAAATTCATTTTCTTTATAACCTGTTGTATATTGGGATGGGCTACAAAGGATCTCTGTTTGTTATGCAAAGCGAATAATAATCTTGGATACAGAAATTTGGACGAAAGAGCGAATCCAGTGGATTGTTTCAAAATTTCTTCTACCTCTTCCACGGTTCTTGCGCAACCGATCAAATCGGTTGCAAATTGCGAGACAGCCTGTAAACGAGATAATACGTTAAGATGGTTTTGATTGATTCAATGAAGATCTAAATGAAGAAAGACCTCAGAGAGACTTCTATATTCGTAATAAAATTCTCTGTCGAAATTGGCAGCATTTCGTAGTTCGTAAGACAAATTGAACGCTTCCAAAATTGGATCATCGACGGTTTGACAAATGAATGCTGGATTCGTGACGGCTTTATATATGAATATTCGCATTTTTTCAGTCGTGAGCAGATCGTATTTTTCTCTTTCGCTTCTGCGCTATCGAATGAAAATATCGTTGGTTAAATTGATTTTCATTGTATTCATATTCAATTCAATTAAGAATTAAGGATCGCAATAAGAAGCGGATAAATACATTTTTGACAATTTTTAACTTATTATGCATACTTAATATATCTAAACAAAAAATTTTGTATTATATAGCGTATGTGGATAAGACATTTTATCTATCTATATTTACATTAGGAGAAACTGTTTCAATGATTTTGACTTTGATATATAAATAATATCAAGGAGACTTTCTTAAATAATCTTCAAAAGATTTTAGTTTCGTTAATAAAAAGATTTCGTTAATAAAAATTAAAAAGTTATTAATCATTAAAAATCTTTTTTAATATTTTTCAAGCGAATATCTTAATAACAGTTGGCTAAGATAATTTAGATTATTCGTGAAACACTGTAATAACACATAATTGTGAATATGTTTCAATGTTTTGCAGCGTAATTTAATCATTTCTAATTGTAACCATTGATATTTATGATCTGGTTAATTGTAAGATTAATTAAGAAAAATGATATAAATATTCTCAATATCAACACAAACATTTTTTTTGTGTTTTTAACATATTAAAATTGGCTTTAGAAATTTACGCGGAAAACTTTAGATTTTTAATAATTAACAATTTTTAAAGCAAATAAGCGTATATAACTTATTTAAGGTTTTCTTTAGAGAATGTTTTTGACAATTTATATCTTATCTTCTCTTAATATAAATATTTATCGTATTTTTTTACATTTTAAGATTATAATTCATATATAGCAACAAGTTTAATAAATATTTATTTCTAATAACTTATTTCTATATATATAAATACTTATTTCTATTATACAAATGAAATAACATCTTATAATTTTTTAAAATAACAATGGATTAACGTCAAATTAAAATTAATTGCAATAAAACATTATATAGAATATTCTACAAATAATGATATTTGAGAACATAATTTTACATGAAAATAAGTAATAAATATAATAATAAAAATAATAATAAAAAATATAGAATAAAATTTTATGATTAAAATGATTCTTTTTATTTAAATTTTAAGTCTTTGTATAATGGAGATTGAATATATTCAATCAAAGAATAGTAATTTTCACTTTAGAACACTCTTTATAAACACATTTGAATTCAATGATTTCCAAATATCTTATAGAGGACGAGATTTTGAATAATTTTTTCTTATACATATACATATGTATAAGAGCTGTTTAGCCATAGTTTTTGAGATATTCATTTTCGAGATTTAATATTTTTTTTATTCTTACGAATAGAATTACTAAAATTTGGCAATTTTCCTGATATCTTATATAATGATCGTTCGGCTATATTTTTGAAAATATTTGCAAAAAAAGATTATTACTATTATTTATACAGCAGCTGATACTCAAAATGATATAATCTGATAAACTTATATTATCATTTACATTATTTATTACAATTATTTATTAAAAAGATTCTAAAAAGTTTAAACATTCCACAAATCTAATAATATTCACAATCTTTTTTTACAAATATTTCGAAAATTATAACCGAGCGATTTTTACAAGATATCAAATTTTAGTATTTTGTGCATAAAGATAAAAAAAATATTAAATAAATATAGATTCGAAAATTTTTTTTTCAAAATATAGATATTTGAACTATATAAAAATAGGAATATATTAAATAGGAATTAAATTAATCAATGGATTGACAGAAAAAGAATAATTATCTAATTTGCATGCTTTCTTGATTTAAATTTTTTGGATTTTTAGTTATGAGAGACATTTTAAAAATAGTTATATAAATAACAACAATATATATTGATAGCGTGAAAATATTTAAAAATCGGATTATCATAAATTAGGAATATATCAGAAATTGTTGAACATCTCGATATGACTCAAAAATGTCGATACGACACATATATTGTTTTAGAAGGAAATTATTTTCATAAAAATCATAATCAGATATATATATCTCGATCAATGTCTATATATCTCGAAAAGAAAAAATCTATGTCTATATAATATTTTTCCATCATTTCTTTAAAAACAATAAAATACCTAATCAAAGTTTAACCACCTTTTTCTTGAAACAATCTACATATAAAAAAAAATTATTCTATATTTCACTTTTATAACAAACAAATCTCACCTTCTGTAATATATTTCAAAATATATATAATTATTAAAACTGATATTGAAACATCATTGATATACACAATCAATCATAAGTCAAATATAAGATTTAATGAAATGAAATTATTATTCAGAACATCACATTTATTACAATATAATCTTTATCATGCTAGATAAAAGTTAATAAAAAAAGCCCATACTTGCACGTTTCGCAATTGCAACTAGGCGGATGAGGTTTTGGGAGCATATGTAGTCTATTCCGGAGGAAATTGATCATCTCGAACTGTCCATATTGCGCCGCTACTGTGAGTGGCGTTGTTTCATCCGGAAAATCAGCACTTTGGGTCACCCCTGCGTATTCCAATCCCGGAGACAATTGATTCAGTTTATTCAAAATAACCTGCGTGATCCTTATTTCGCCATCCCTGATAGCGTGTAAATGCGCATCGCCAGGATCGATGTAGGGATGAGTTAAAAGATACTCAACCATCGGTAGGTTTCTATCACGGACTGCGATATGAAGCGCGGTGACACCCTGAAAATTGGAATTTTTCGTTAATATATGTTGTTTTTATAATAAAAAAAAGGGATGATTTATAACATGTATATACATACAGTAAAAAATGAAAGTTTTTGTATATGATTTATCTGAGAAATAAATTCATCTAATTTAAATATTCTAATTTTATTGAAAATTTATGTACATGTAGAGAATAAACAATTTTATTGTTAACAAAAAAATTGTTTTGAGTTGATCAAATTAATATTTAAAGTTTTAATTATACAGGAAAATTTCAACGATTGAATATAAAAAATAAAAAATAAAGTTAGTTCGATTAGTGAGTTGTTATTCAAAGTACTAAATAAATATAATTAACTGTAATGCCGAACGGTAATTAATTCGACGAATGTCAATTTTAATTATGAATAAAAGTTAGTTATTACAGCTGTCGTTTTAACTTAATTTTATCGAAGACTTCGAATAAGTCAGAAGTTTTTATGTACGTGCGTAAATAATAAATAAAATTAATATTTTAATTGTAAATAATTTATAATTTTATTATATAAAAATCATTTTTAAAAATAATTTATTTCTTATTTTACAAATAATGAACAATAAATAATTTTTAGATTTTTCTTGTCCTGAAATTGTTATAATATTGATAGTCTTTTTTGATCAAAATTACAAGTTGATCAAATTTCTTATTTAAATAATGAATATAAATATAACAAAGAATAAAATTTTGATTAAAAATATATAAAAAAAAAATATATAAGAAGAAATAAGAAATATATAAAGAAAATATATAATTTTTTTATATAAATATTACAATTTTTTTATATAAATATTATTTAAATAATTTCAAAAATAATCTATTTTTTATATTTTATACAATATTACTTTGATATAAATAGATAGATCTTTATCGCTTTTGACAATTTTTAAGTGTGTTGTAAAATTAATATTTCGAACAATTTTTTTTTGCACATGATGTTGTTCAATTTTTATGTTGTTTAATTTTCGATATTTGCAAAAAAAGACTTTATTTAATAACATTATATATATATATATATATATTCAAAATATTCGAAAAACTGCAGTT